ATTCCCGGCAGAGCCTCTGGGTGGAGTTTAGGGAATTGGATGGTTCCAGTTGCTTCTTCTGCACTGGCTCCACACCAGCAGCAGAGATGGTAGAAGAGACGAGGCCCTTGGCATAGAACTAACTCCCTAGCCCACAAGGGCTCACTGTGAGTCAGCATTGACTCGGTGGCAATGAGTCTTGTTTGCTTTGAGAACTGCTCCACGGGGCTTGGAGAGCTGTGAATCTTCAGAGGAGCAGACGGCCTCATCTTTCTCCCGAGCAACAGCTGGTGGATTTGAACTGCTGACCTGGTGGTGGTTCCCAGCCCACCAGGTCTCCTATCTGTTCATTAAGAAGTTAATTAGTCAGCATGGCAGGGGATCACAAGAAAGGGGATCAAGTCTCATTCCTAAAGAACAACAGACTCCAGTGGAAAAACAATCACCCACCAAGAATTAGACCCCCATCAAAATCGTCCTACAAATGGGACGGCTGGCACAGAAATGCTGGGTGAGTTCAAATGGTCGCCCTTTTGGTCAGCATCCAATCTAGCCTGTTCATGGTGTTTGGTTTCCTCTCCTAGGGACTTTGCTTGCCATCCAGTGGGGGGCAGGGGGGAGATTGAGTTCTGGCTACCTAAGGAGGGGGGCTCCAGGGCAGTGTGGACAGCACAGATGTTGCTACTCCTACAAAGGAGGATGTGTGGCCCGGGCAGGTGGCACGTCCATTTCACCAGCCCAAGAGGCCAGCTACCTGTGGCCCTCCAGCCTTGGGGTCCGCCCACCCCTGCCTGCCACCTGCCTCATCCCTGGGCGCAGGGAGCTTAGGCACCCCTGGCTGATGGCTACTTCTGTAGGTCAGGTCTGGGGAGGCTAAATTTTGATCATAAAATTACCCCTCAGGCAACTTAAAGGTGCCCTGTAGGTGCAGTGGCTTAAGCACCGGCCCGCTGACCCAGCCTCATGCCCCTCTGAGGGGGTAAGATGGGGCGCTCTGCTACCATGAAATTGATGGAGCAGTTCTCTGTCCTACAGGACAGGCTTGCTCGGTATTGGGATCGATGCAGTGCCAGCCAGTTCTTGAGTATTAATATCGCAACAGATTCCACACTAGACTGTTAACCACAAGGTTCCTGGTTCAAACCCACCAGCTGCTCCAAGGGAGACAGAGGAGGCTAGTTGCTTCCTTAAAGAGTTAGAGTCTTAGAAACCAGCGAGTCGTTCATCTCCTCCTCCAGAGAAGGAACTTTGGGGGGTGCTGCACTCGCCGCCTGCTTGGGGTGCACCCTGCCTCTCTGAAGCCAGGCTGCAGGACAAACCTGAGCCTAGTCTATTTTCCCCACAGACAGAGCATACCCTGTGAGAGGGAACAGGGACCACGCAGGCCTTCTGTAAGAGCAAAGTGACATCGGAGGGATTTCGGAAGAGAGTGTATGGGGGGGTGGGGGCAGGGGGGCGGTTGCCTCCAGAATTGGGAGGGTCTGCGAGAGGGCATGGAGCCCTGGTGGTGCAGTGGGTGAGGCTGCAGGCAGCTAAGCACAAGGTCAGCGGTTTAGAACCCCTGGCCGCTCCCCAGAGAAAGATAAGGCTGTGAAGATTTTCAGGGTCAGTTCTCTGGCCTGTTGGGTCACTTGGAGTCAGGGTCTGCTCGATGGCCCAGGCATTCTAGGGATGCAGGGAGGGGCCACGACCCCTCCACAGGGCTTTGGCTTCTGCTGAGCCCAACCAGACGCTGGTCCTAGAGGGGCCCAGAGACCCCATCCCCGAGCTCCCCATTTCTGCTGAGACTCCCTTGAAGTCACTGACATCCTCCCAAGCACGGAACTCATGCTGCCACTGGGGGCGCTCGGCACAGCCCTGCATGGTTTTAACCTAAGGCTGAGGCACCCCCGCAGGGCCGCCCCCCAACTCAGACCCTGGGTGGTGTCTCGCTGGGTGAGATTTTTAAATGTTTTGCTCCAAGTCCTGTTGCTTTTTCCTGTTTAGCCACGGCTGTTCCTTGGGTACAGTAGAGGGGCAGTGACAAAGAGGCAGGCCCTCGGCGCGATGGCTGGGTGACCCAGGGGCTGCCCTGTGGGTGCAGGTATAGTCACAGTTGGGAGGGTGGTACAGGACCGGGCCCAGCAACAGCACAACCCCAGGAACCAATGTGAAGGGAAACGGTTTCCTCCCAGTACGAGGGGGTATCCTTTGAAAAGTTCACAGCTGCCGGAGTTTTTCCTTGAGGTCTCCCGGCACGTCCTGCCAGGACACGAGTGCTCCAGCCACCCACGCCCACCCTCTGGGACCTGTAAGACACAGGAGACATTTCCTTGTCCTCCCGTTTCTGTGTTCCTGTGGAAGTTTTGCAGTCTTCTCACATACTCACCTACACACACACACACACACACACACACACACACACACCCAACCCCCTCTCTCTCTCAGGTTTCCAGGCAGCCCCTGGCCTGCCTGTGCCACCTGGCGGGCCTGCATCACCAGGTGAACCCGAAGAGATGGGCCACGCCCCAGCCCCATCAATCCCACATCTGAGTCCACGCGGGATGTGCGCCTCCCGCATGGTCCCACCCAAAGCCACACTGTGGGAAGTGAAATGTTGCCCTCGATTACAACCTGGTGTCGGCAAGGAACTTGGAGCAGAAAGTGCCCAGGGTGTGAAAGGGTTAAGACCCCAGGGCGTCCCGCCCACCACAGTTGTGAAGCGGCAGTTATGTGGGGGCGGTTGGGTCCCCTGTCTTTTCTGAGAGTATGGGTGCCCACCAGGCTGGAGGTCCAAGTGACTTCACACCATGTCCTCGGCTGAGTGCCCCCTGTGGGCCAGGAGCCTTGTCGGGGACCTGGCTGCCAGCCCGTCCCTTCGCCCCTCGGTGGCTACATGGTGTCCTTGTCTCCTGCCACCCGGTGGCTCACCTGAGGACACAGTCGTGGGTGACAGCGTCAGAGCCCAGGTGTAGCCGTCGTCTGGCTGTGACCTCATGACCCAGTGATGTGGGTGGTCAGCTCCGCTGATCGAGGGCATCTGCGCGACAGCCCGTCGCTGTAGCTCCTGCCCACCCAGTCTCCAGCCTGGCCCTCGCCTTCCTGCTGGAATGGAGAAGGGATAGCTGCCCGAGACCATATCTGAGGTTTAATGTGAGAGCTTTTGGGGGGGAGGGAGCTGTTAAGCAAATGCACCGTTGTTAGCGAGTTAACAAGTAAACTCAAGTGTACCTGTTTGTTCATTCAGCACCTACCAAAGGGATGTGAGCAAGGAGCGTGTGTGCATGCGTGTGCCCCTGCCCACATGCATGTGTGCACGGGGAGTGAATGCGGGTGAGCAGAAGTGCAAATGAGTGAACAGATGTGTGAAGAGGCATGTGTGCATTAGCAAGCGAGTGTATGAGCTGGGGTGGGTGAGTCTGAGCAGATGAGTAATGAGTGTGAGCAAGTGTTTTGTGAGGGTGAGTGAACGCAGGTATAAGAGTGAGCAGGTGTGCCTGTGAGGGTGAGTACAGACGTAAGAGTGAGCAGGTGTGCTGGTGAGAGTGAGCAGGTATGGTTGAGGGTGAGTGAGCAGGTGTGAGTGTGAACAGGTGTGCCTGGGTGGATGAGTGTGGGCAGGTGTGTGAGCAGGTGTGCCTGGGTGGGTGTGAGCAGGTATAATTGAGGGTGAGTGTGAGCAGGTATAAGCATGAGCAGGTGTACCTGTGAAGGTGAGTGTGAGCAGGTGTGCCTGGGCGGGTGCATGTGAGCAGGCATAAACATGAGCACGTGTCACAGGGTGAGTGAGCACAGGTATAAGCATGAACAGGTGTGTCTGTGAGGGTGAGTGTGAGCAGGTGTAAGCGTGAGCAGGTATGTCTGGTGGATGTGTGGGGTGTGCATCATGTGTGTAGAAAGCCACACTGCCCTCTCCAGCTCGCAGCAGCTGGGCTGAGCAGCGCCTTGAGAACTTGCTCAGGGTGGGGTCCAGGCTCAGTCCTTACGTCCCTGTGCCCCAGAGCCAGCTGCGGGGCAGGGCGGTGTGTGTGTGGCTCTGGCTGTGGGCCAGCTCAGGTACTGCGGGGCTGGGAGGGGCGTGCTCTGTCCTCCAGGATCCTAGGGGCTTACGTGTGAGGTGCTTGAGCAAGGGCTACAGCTCCTGGCCCCCTCCCTGCCACTAGGGCACAGGAGTCGGAAGTGGACTTGGCCCCTCATCTCAGCGGGGTGGGCTCGGGCCCCCTGTCTCAGGCCCAGGTCCTTCTGGGGAAGGTGGTCTGACTTTGGAGGTATTGGCGTGGATGAGGAGCGGGGGTGTTCCAGGGTCCAGAGCCAGCCTGGTGGGTGGTAGGCAAGGTGTCTGAGTGGCCCTACCCGGGAGTGGGGTGGGGTTGGCCAGGCGTCTGGGGCAGCCCGTGGACCTCCACATGTAGGTGCTACCCACCCTGCTCTCCGGGAGCCCTGCTAACCCTCATTGTCTCTAACACCTGCTCCTGCCCACCGCACCGCTGCACCCGTGCGGAGTGCGTCCCGGTCTGTCTAACATGTTTGTCCTGGTCCAGCGTCCCCCTAACTGTGGCCCGGCCATGGGCCACCCCATCCTCATGATGTTCTGTGTCTTCCCTCCAAGAACTGGGTTTCTCTTGAGGAGAATAAGGGTTCCCAGCACCCCGATTCACCGAGAGGTGGGAGCCCAGGCCCCCGCCCAGCAGGGCCAGCCTGTCCCCACTCGGTGAACCCAGCCCAAGTGAGACCATCACTGGGTTCTCCAGGGAGTGGAAGCCAAGGGCAACACCTGAATTGACCTGGGAAGTCTGCTGCCCAAGCCGGCCAGGCCTTGCCTGGGAGGCTGCAGGTTATGGCTGGACCGAGCTCGGGCACCTAAAGATACTCACTGAAATCAGCAACCCACAGTTTGAGCTACAATTCGGACCCTGGGGAAGCCCACTTCCAATACTTGGCGTTGCCCGACTGTCCACAAGCGAAGCCCACGTCTGCCCGCCCCTCTGCCCGCTCCGTGCCCCTTTCACCCCCTGTAACCAGCTGTTTTGTGTGTGTGTCAGGTGGCAGGTTCAAGAAAGAGATTGTTGTTGACGGACAGAGTTATCTGCTCCTGATCAGAGACGAGGGAGGCCCGCCGGAGGGACAGGTGAGTGGCGAGGGCACATGCTGATGGCTCGCGCGCCTTTGCTTTCCGTGGTAAGTACAAGACACTGGACCCTGGACACTGGTCAAGGGGAAGTCACATGTCAGACAGTGACCTTGCTGGTTCAAGAGATGCAGTTGATGTGCCTGGATGTGATGTTCCCGGGATCTAAACGACCTAGGGTTTGCTGGAAAGAATGTGGACCATTCAACACCAGCAGTACCATCCCTGCCTCCAAGACCCAGAGGGGACAGATTGGGGTTCCTGTCAGCAGTGGTGACCCCCATGCGCCTGGTAACAATAAGGAGAACTCTCGAAGGGGTGTTTGAAAAGGGTCAGTTACAGAGCCCCGGGGGAGCACCTGAGGGCTTCCGGCCTGGGTGGGGCAGCCTGGACTGTCCCCTGGTGCTCTATGGTCTGAGATGCCTCGGACCAGGGTTTCTCTGCTGCCCTGGTCTCAGAGGTGGCTGGTCAGTGGCCCCCAGTTTTCCAGAGAGACTTTCTAAACATAGGAGCAAGAAAAAGGGCAAGTTATAACCACTAATGAAGAGTGGAAGATGGAGGTTGGAAAGCCTGTCCACTCCCCCCAGCCCCGCCCCCCCCTCCCCAAGGCTCATCCTACGCTACTGACTCACCCGGGGCAGAGTAGAACTGTGCCATGGGGATCTAGGAGCAGAAGCCTCCCCTTCTCCCGAGGAGCAGTTCGTGGTGGGTTTGAACCACTGACTTTCCAGGGAACAGCTGAGTGCTTATCTGCTGAGTCGTTGGGGCTTTAGAAGTTGGGTGGCATTAGGAAGGGGGTTCCGTCCAGTGAGGCTGACCACAGGGGACATAACAGAGACGTGGCCACTGCCTCTCCCACCCTTCCCCCCACCAGGACAGCAGGGGCATGAGGGCCTGCTGGCCACACCTCTCCCCCGGGGTCAAGCTGGTCAGACATAGACTCCACAGAGGGCTGGACAGTGCAACCACGGTCCTAATGGTCAGGATGGCCTATTGGGTGGGTCAGTTTGTCTGACGTTACCCCTACAGAGCCTGAACTCCCCCCCTCTCCCCAGCCCCACACGCCAGCCTGGGACCCTGCCCCTGGGTCCTTCTTTTGCTGCCAAGCAACAAGTAGTGACACACGCATGTTCCCACCTGCCCTCGGTGCCCGGTGGGGGAAGAGTTCTCCTGGCTACACAGGTGCCTCACGCTCATCAAAGCAGCCACAGTCTCCCCACCTTCGTCCGTTCTGACGCATGGTCACCCCACAGGATGGGGGAGAACCGCCCCCGGGGTTTCTGAGACTGCCCCTCTTTATGGGAGTAGAAAGCCTCATCTTTCCCCCAAGGAGCAGCTTGGTGGTTTCGAACTGTTGACCTTGAGGGTAGCAGCCCAGCAAGTAACCACGATGCCACCAGGGCTCCTGACTCTCATTGGAGCCCCTTCAAATAAAGGTCCGGTCAGAACTGTGACTGCAGAGGACACCTGCAGAGCCAGTGCAGGTCTGGGCAGAGTGGGCAGCTTGGAAGGTTAGGGTGACTGACTGGGGAGGGTCCCCACAGGGGCCATCTTTATAAGTTGTCCCGAAGGACACACGGTCTTACCTGGAAGAAGTTGGAAGACAAGGGCACGCTGAGCTGGTGAGAAAGACCAGGAAGTTGCCCCGAGGAAATTACCTTCTGTCACAGTGGTGCAGCTGCTCATTCTTGTGGGGTGCAAGGGCTGCCCTGGGAAATTTCACTAGGAAGCCTCCCCTGACCCCCTCCAGCCCTAACCTGGCCCCGCCAGACTTTTCATTCCCAAAGTTCAAAGTATATTTCAGAGGAACATAATTTGAGTCCTCTGAGCAGGACTGGGGACTGCTTGCCCTGCCTAGGGCCATTTGGACATTGACCCCATCACCCGAGGGCCATCCTGGTCACGCGCTGAGTGACCGAGAGGGATGTGAGCCGGTATTGACGACCTCACAGGCAGGGTGGACGGACACTCCCCAACCCTGGCCTGCAAGCTGCCCAGAGTGCAGGATTCCCCATGGGGGTGGGGGGACGGTTGGAGAGATGGCCACGCACTTTCAGAGGCGCCCCGCCCTCAGTGGAGGGTGTGTGGAGGCTCAGCTATTCTCCTGTTGACGAGCTTGTCGAGGGAAAGTCGCTACGTTTTGCAGCGTTGCTTTTTGACGTACCCTCAAGGGCGTGTGTGAGAGGTCACAGTGCCCTCCTGGGCTGCCAGGACAGTCCTGAAAGCAGGCCATTTCCCTTCCCTGACAGCAGGGACTTGCCAGCCTCGGGGTCAGGCATAGGACAGTGGTGGCTTCCGGCCAGACTGGGGACCCAGAGCCTTCACTGCAGCCTGAGTGGGTGCTGGCCTCTGGGACATCCCAGCCGAAGCCTGCTGGGGTGGCCCCAGGGTCCGCAGGTTGGGCCAGCCTGGTGTAGAGGGAGAGCTGGCCATCAGGCAACAGGGCGGGGACTGGCCAGGCACAGGAGGAGGAGGAGGACAGCCAGCTCAGGAGCCATGGCTGGCTTGTGTCCCCTAGGGACGGGTGGCCTGGGTTGGCAGTGGTGAAGGGGACACTCCGGGGAGCCTCGAGGCGCAGGTGCAGCTTGCACATTGAGTGGGCGAGGACCCGGCTCCCGTCCTGACACTCTCCTTCCGCCCCAGTTCGCCATGTGGGTGGACGCTGTGATCTTCGTCTTCAGCCTGGAGGACGAGATCAGCTTCCAGACCGTGTACCACTACTACAGCCGGATGGCCAACTACCGGAACACCGGCGAGATTCCGCTCGTCCTGGTGGGCACCCAGGGTGAGTGTGCCTGGGGAGGGAGGGTGTGCGTGCCAGGGTGAGTAGGCTGGGGTGGGTGTTTGTGCATTGAGATTCCCCAAAGCCCACGCACTGCCTTGAAGGGACCCTGTAGGACAGGGTGGAGCTGTCCCTGGAGGTTGCAAAAGACATCCCTCTTGACAGGAATAGAAAGTCTCACCTTTCTCCTGGGGAGCACCTGGTGGGTTCGAACTGCTGACTTTGCAGTTAGCAGCTCAACATGCAACTCACTACGCCACAGGAGCCTTGTGCCTTCGGCAGGTCTCCACATTCTCTGTTCTGTGCGGCAACAATTGCTTTATCAGCTGGTCTGTAGGCTCCCTGCTTATTAGCTTCTGATGCCTCTTTGAAACAGTATTTGTTTCTGATGTGGTGGGGCTGTGGGTCAGTGCTTGGCTCCAGTTGAAAGGTTGGTGGTTCAAACCCACCAGCCACTGTTATGGAGGAAAAGTCTACGTGGAAACCAGGCAGGGCCATGGCTTTGTGATTTGGAATCCTGGGCCGTGCGGGGCTGGGCTCACACCTCCTCTCTACAGCGGTACTTTTACCTCAGCCATGTTCCTGGAGAGCCCAGCTGCACAGGCCTGGCCCCTGCTTGCTTCTCGTTCCCCTTGGGCATGGCACGGCATGCTCTGAGGACACCTGGATAGGGTGAACTCCCTGCCAGCGAGTCGATGCTAGCTCACAGCGATCCTCAGGGCAGGACAGGGTAGTACTACCCCAGGGGCCTTCTGAGGCTCTGTCTTCCACAGAGCTGCTGGTGGTTTGGAACTGCTGACCTTGTGGTTTGCAGCCCAACACATAACCACTATGCCACCAGGGCCATAGGGGACCTACCTAACCCAAGGACTCACCATGACCCTACAAGACAGGGTAGTACTGCCCCGGGGTGTTTTCAGGCTGCATATCTGACCACGCCTTTCACCTTTCTCCATGGAGAGCCACTTGGGGGGGGGGGGTGTCTTACCTGTCCCTCTTCTGGGTCACAGCGAGTGCTTTAACGACTGCACTACCAGGGCTCCTTTAGGAAACCCCCACCCCCCACCCCCAGGTGTATACATTGCTGAGGCCTGGCCTGAAACCCATCTAGCCATGGCTCGGCAGTGAGACCTGGCCATGTGCTCCCGGAAGGTCACAGCCAGGAGTCAGAGTGGCCCGCCACTGCCAGCAAGAAGGGGGAGCGTCCCCCAAGATGGCATTTCGTGAGCACTGCTTCACAATGGCACCCTTCAAATGTCAGAGGGAGATGCCTGTGCGA